TTTAAAATACGTTTTTTTTGTTTTTGTAGTCACTATAGTGATATTGATAAAAGCTTAATAAACTTTGAAGTTTTAGTTTGAAATCGATTCCGAACTATAATTTGCTAAAATCAGAAATATGCGCGAGAAATTATAATAACATAGGAGGCGGAACCTGGGGGTGGGGTGCATCCCGATTTTGATCCGGTAGCGAAATGTCCCTCGGAATGGGGAAGACTTGTGTACAACCCTCATGGAAAGTCGCTGTTTTAGTTTTGAATTTGATAGTCATGGTTAACATAACAAATAATGAGCCCCAATCGTCGGTAACCCCCCCCCCCCCTCCAATTCAAATATGTTCCGCTGCCTATGAATGATAAATTTAGAACATTATATTAATAATGCACAGTCCAACAGAACAATTTTAGACAAGTTTTTTTTTAATATTTCTATTGACAAACAAAATGTGATAAATAGTAATAATAAAATATAGCAAGTAATTCCAGAATGAACAGAGTACATAGAAAACTCCATTATCAACACAGAGAAAAAACTGAAACTCTGACTGTCAAATGCCCGATTTTGACAACGTGCATCAATCAGATGGTTTCATTAGCTCCTCTTGTTAACTTTTTACAACACGATTGCCGACTATATTCATACAGATTTACAAGTTTGATTTTTGTTTTTACATTTCTAAGTATTTAAGTTTTAATTAAAATTTATCAACAGACGTTACGTACAAAGAGAAAGTAGACCATTTAGGCAAGTCGTGTACGTGGACTGAAAAACTAGAAAATTAAACGTCACGACACTTGCCATGCGGTTATCAATTCATGCTACCAAAGTAGCAACAGTTTGAGTTTTGTGGAAGTAATACGTACATGAATATTCACACGATTACGAAACTACTCACTGAGAACAAGTAACACACGTCCACAAAAGCACTAGATCCCTGTTGTTACACGGACAAATATAAAACCCTTTATATTCCGCTTATCTCTGATTGCTACATTAACTATCGTAGAGGGCGCTGCATCATTGAGTTACGTATGTAACTCTTAAATACCTTATTATTCAGGGCAGCAAATTGGAAGGACTGAAAAATTAATTTTTAGAAATGTTTAATAAATTGCTCATACTTTTACCTAATGATTAAATAGTAATAAATTTTATCTTAACAAAGTTAGTTGGACGTTAAACAAGGAAGAAACATTTGAGTTTTCTGAATAATTTAATAAATTGATATAGAATAACTGTTTTGTACTAGAAACGCTTAAAGCATTCATTTAGGCCTAATGTAACTATTAATTTACCGTTATGACGAATTCACTCACCACAAGCTTTCAACCTTATGATTACCTATATTGAATTCATATAGTAATAACATTTCGTTTTTAGTTTGTGCCAGAGCGTGGCCTAGAATTTAGCGTATAGAACTTTGGAGGATTGGAAGTTCAAAAAGCAGTACTACCAAACACGCTTCGCACTTTTAGTTATGTACCTGCTTAGAGCAGCGAATACTGTCGACTAGCTGCATTTCTTTAAAATTAGGGACGGCTGTACCTAAAATCGTATGAGTCTAAACGTTTAGCCAATTGAAAACTCTCTAGCGCTGGATCAAATTTTTGATCCTTACTTTTTAGAAACACAGAAAACATTCAAATAACTGAATGCGAGAAAATGAAGGAGAATTGTGTTGAATAAACGTGTCGGCCAGCTATGCACAGCATAATTTAAGTGCGTTAGTATGAATTCAAAACGGCAAGAATTAATACAATTTTAAGAGTAGTAATGATTGTGTAAAATAATACTTGAGGACATTTGCACAATTTAGTGAATGAGCTACTAGTTAGATATTACTATTATTTAGGCTTAGCGTTCAAATTGCTATTATTTAGGCTTA